GTACTGTCAATTAGACTTAAATCCATCAAATTATCTGTTAATTTGTGGAAACTCAGTGTCATATTTTCTTTTGTAACACGCTGAAGAATTTCCAAATGATGTTGTAAGTGCTGGTAATGCTCAACTCCCAGAGGAGGCTGCACTGTTGGGACACAGACTTTGGGCACTTTTATACTGCTGTTCTTGTCATAGGGCATGGTTTCCTTCCTTCACTTAACCTTCCTAGGGTTCTTCTGCGTTTCTTTTCTTGATTTAAGGTGAAGGTGGAAAGGCATGTTTCTTTATGTGGTAATTAGGCATAATTGAAGGATTATGGGTGGTGTGTACACGTGGGTTACGTGGAAGCTCTTAGGCTGCACGTACCCTTCCATAGCTGAGAGCAACCACTTGTATAAGCTAAAGTGGTGCCTTCCTCCTCTACAGCTCAAAGTCAGAGTAGGTGGTAAAGAAAATCAATTTATTACAGTTCTCAGAGGGGGGATTAACTGTTGTTTTCTGTCCAGAATGTAGCACCTAAGGGCCCCAGCCTAAAATACAGGATGACTTCTAACCCCAGAGCTCTTGCTTGTCTCTGCTTCTGAGCTCCCTCCAAGCATAGCGAGATGTGAATGAAATAGTACAAAACTCCTGTGTCCCAGTTAACCTTTGAAACAGAAATGTGAAAAATGCTGGTTTCCCAGCGAGTGCTTTACGTTAACATTTCCTTTCCCTGCAGTTTTTCAGCAGGTTGTGTAGCATTACCAGCCCTAATTAATATCAAGGCAGTCATTGAACAAAGGCAGTGCACGGGCGTTTGGAACCAGAAGGACGAACTCCCGGTGAGTTGACGCTGGGCTGTCCCAGGACGGATTTCTTGATGCTGTTTCCAGGTTTCTTTTGTGCTGAATGTTATGGGATGTTTGTTGGACGTGGCCTCCACCTCCAGCAGCCCCGGGGGTTTGCAGGGCCCTGGGGCTCACAGACACCCACACACCCAAACACAAAGGGCGCTGACACCACCAGACCAGCTGCACAGGCTGCCACAGACACAGCACTGCCTTCAGCAGCACCCACACACGAGGCTTGCATAAAACATGAGTGCAGAGAGCCGAGCTCCCTTCCTCCTCTTTGGCTGGTAGAGATTGAAATTCACTGGTGAAAGCACAAACACACCACTCCAGATTCACGAGCAGATGTGTGTTCATGGGCACTCAAACACTGGCATGGCCCTTCTGACCTGTTTTATATCCCTTTCCGGTGGTCCAGGGGAAAATTCACTGCACTGTCACTGCAGAGACCTGGGTTCGATTCCCGGTCGGGGCCCCTCCCCGGGCAGATGGAGCTCGTTAGCCCGTAAGGCAATCCATCTACGTCCTGAGGACCTCGCTGCCACCGTCCAAGCGTGCTTGGCCCCGGCAGATGAACCTCAGGATTAAAGGGTGGGCTCAGTTCC